TAATCCAAATCTGCAATCTAAATCTTTAATGTAATTTACAGTTTTGTTTAATTTAATAACATGATAATAACATGAGTTTAGTTCACATATTAAGATTAATAAAATTCTTGTGGAAACTATGAATTGTTGATGAGGTGATAAAGTGTGCAGGATGAAGGTAACGCGTTCGCTAATCGCTAATGAAAAACGGGTTCCTTGTACACATGCAATAACAGTTTAACCAACAGCCACACAGCTCCTCCGCTCACCCTCCAATGAAAATCTCAATTTCATGCATGGTTGGTCGTCAGCCATAGATGCCTTTCATTATTGCCTTGAACAGTGGAAGAGCTGCGAATTCGCAGAGCCCTGCCGACCGACGTTTCTCCCTCAACCCTCTAAGCCCTTAACTTCCCCGGGCTTATTTCTGGATCGAAAATCGGGATTATTCATGACTGCTAAAGACTGATATTAATATAACAATAGTTGATATCTGTTAGTTAGGATAGACGGATTCTGATTTAATTCTGCATTCGAATCGGATTCTGATTTAATTCAATCGAAATTAATCAGAATCATTTACATATTCGATTTTAACCAATACATGAATAATAACACATTTCGATAGAAATTATTATATTGTTATAAAATTCTTGAACGTAATATTACATTTCGTATTGATTTGAAATTACCTTCGCTTTGTAAACTAAACTAAACTCCTAATAGTAGAGTGTATATGCGTGAATGCGATCATAACTTTGTAAACATACAAATCGATGAAATATTGCGGCCGCCGGGAATGTATTATAGTTGGAACAACAATATAATTTATGCATGAAAGCTATTAAGTTTACATTTTTTATGAGCCGCAATTAGTTTTAAAGCTTTTTTAATCGCATACGCCCTACGACTAATGATTTACGGGCAGTTTCGAAAAATGTGCCCTATTGATTTTGTTTACATACTCACAATGTGTGTATAACTTTCATTTGTTATGTTTCAATAAGTATATAACCTTTAATAAATACATGAATACTAAATATTTTCTATATTTGATTGTTGATGAAAATTCAATAGATTTCGTTTATATTTACACTTATATCCTTTGATCCATGAATCGATTATTATCAATTAGCAACACATTTCCAAAAAAAGAAGTTATTATTAGATTTAATGAAATCATGAAACTACCATTAATTAAAAATCTATTGTCTGCAAATTACATTTTGATTGAAACAAAATAAGAGTAGTTTAAATCAGGAATGTCCATCCTTTTAGGTTCCCTGAGCCACATTGAAATAAGACGATTTTTTGGGCCATTCATAAAATGCATTAATACTAACAATAGCTGACGAGCAACAAAAGCGTTATTATTAAAGGAAATCTCATAAAGTGTGTAAATTTACAATATTCTTAACAAGCCTACTTTACAATTAATCTTTACTTAAAGCAATAAAGTCCTCTAAAACATTTGAAAGCTTCTTGAAACCAGTTTATAGCAGTTCTAAAGCTGTATTCCAAACATATTCAACCTATTAGTATTACTCAAATCTCTAATCCAGAGGTTTCTTGATTAGCATATATTAATGAAGTGAGCTGTCTTGATAAAACTAGTCGAGTTTTCTCATTTGTTTTGTCAATTCGAATTTGATTGGGAGTACGGATGAAGATAAGCAAACCAATTTACTTAAAGAATTACGCTTATTATAACTGAATTATAATATACAAGAGTACTTTCAATATATTAAAATAAATTTGCATAGTGATTTAATGTCTTTATAACTTTACATAGTAATTAGATAAAATGCTAATATATATTTCCAGTTCAATCGAAATCACATTTGCAATTCCGTTTGATCATGCATAAATTGAGATATATTGCGATTTATACGTGAATTTTCATTATATAATGTCTCAAGTTAATTGTATTCTTTTTTATTAATTAATCCTTTAAATTCAGCAATCTGAATTACTAATACTAAATAATATTTTAGTAAATAAGCGTTCGATGTGTTACGTGTTAATAGTGTAGGTGGAGTTTGAAAAGTTTCTGTTGTGTTGTTAAGCTTGTGTCGAAAAGATTTACACATTTATGTGTGTCTACTTATCTTAGTCACGTAACTTCTATACTTTTTATCTCTCTCGAAAACTTCCAATAGTATTTCCATTTAGAGTCTTCCTGTTAGTTGGTATGAACAATCATTCTCCATAATCCCGTATTAATAATAGTTTACTTCGTCCTTGTTATTACTTTAAGAGAAGAGCAATCACCAATTACCAGTAAAACCAATTGGATTTAATTCATTTTGTATCATCTGAGAAAAAAGCATTCAACATTACATAATGTCCATAGTTTTCATCTTTCTAGACATATTTAATATAAATATTTATATATACTTTATAAATACTTTTTAGCTTAATTTCTTGTTTAAATGTCTTTGATAATTAGTATACTTTTAGCATATTATCTGCGACATTAGTCAGCAATAGTCTCCTTAATAAATATGGGCTAGCTATTACATTTGTATTCGCATGAAGCATTTGATTACTCTAACACTGATTTCCCTTGTTATACTTCTACCATCATTTGTAGGAAATGTATTCATCAAATAAGTAATTCATACAGAAAATATAAATGTTTTTTTTTTAATGTATTAATATTATTGATTTTACATTAACAATTGTCAAAGTAGTCTAGAGAAACGTATAGTAATGAACATAGAATTATATCTAGTAAGTTAAATGAAGAGAACTGGCTTGTGTTATGTTTTCGTAAGTGTAAAATCGATAGCAGTGTCGGAGCATTAGCGCAAAATGTAATTGTGATTCATTAAGAGGCGAGTCACAATGAGAACTTGATATTTCGAGTGGCCTTATTAAATTCCGTTGCATTGGGGTCTGCGATAATATTTCCTTCGGTTTTAATTGCTTCTCCCGTTTGTTCCTAATTTAATTACTCGAAGAACACAAATATAAAACTCAACTTTAATTGCCAGTTTTTTATTTTCAAATTATATATTGCTTTCATACAAATAAACATACTAACTTTTTGAAATAAAAAAAAAAACAATATTTCAAACACAATTGAAACGGAAGTGCTAAAAGTGTTTGGAAGAGGGAGATTCAATACTTATTAAAAAAAAAGACGGGGGCGAATCTGTTACAAAACTTTGAAACATTTGTTTGAAAGAAAATAAAATATCTGTATTAAGAAAAAAGTTACAGAATCGAACTGTTCTTTTTCATTTCAACCTATTATGATAGATTTAAATTCTGTTTTTTCACATTCTTTTTTAATTTTACATATTGTTAAAGTCCTAATGTAAAGTCCAAATATAATACACGTGAAAATTACGTAGATAGAACGAAGTTTTTTTTCTATTTGACAAGTAATTTACTTATACCACAAGTATAAACTTTAAGGTTTGTCGGTTTTTAAAACCGGTTTTTAGAGAAAATTTATCTAATTCCAACTAAAAAATGCTTTGATCCTAGACTTAAAATATAAAAATTAATGGAATACTTTAATTAGAAACCTAAAAATGTTGACATAAAATCGTCTCTCTTACGTGAATTGAAAAAAAAATCAAAACTGAAATTAGTTGTTAGGTTTTTTAGTTAATTTACAAAATCAATTCATATATATTTTTAAGAACCTGAAGATGTGAATTTAGAGGGTACAAAGGGAAGAACAAATGTAAATGCTGTAACTTTTGTATGTGCAATAGATCAGTGTAAGCAATAGAAAATGAAATTTGAGATTCGAAAACCGTTTTTTCACTCATAAAATCCTTAAAAACATCATGTAGCTACAAAATAAGTGTATATCGCATATATTTTTAGCGAATTAATATGTCTTTCTCTTTCAATCCTGTATTTAGTTCATTATGTGATTAATTATGTTCGACTACGTAATTTACTTCAGATGTCAAACTAAATGTGATTCTATCATTAAATTAATCTAGTAGAGAATCCAATTGAATTTGCAATTTACGAGAATTAACCAAATCATTGATTCGGCATTCCAATATTTGAAAAAATATAGTATAATTGTTTCTATTTATTACAAAGAAAGTTATGTAAAAAAAAACTGCAAGAAATAAATAAAACTTGGATTAATGCATTAAATAACAAAGAGGAATAAAGTATATTTTCCCCGAGATATGCAAAATTCTTCGACAGTTAATATTTTATGCGAATCATATATTCCTTTTTTTTATGAGGTACAATCCAAACACACATAATACATACACACACCCTCGATACTGCAAACTTGCAACTACCCACACGTACGAGAGGTTTATGCCAAGTTATTACCATATAAATAGATAACGTCTCGTTGGGAGCGGCAGTCAATAGTGTATATAAAACATACATAGATAGCATCAAAAATATTGACGACCTATTTACATTTAATAGCGGCAAATTTGAGCCTATTACATTGGAACCCTTTCTCCTTTCAAATACCCGGATTTTCTCGGAACGAAAGGGCTCATCGCAGCGGAATGGAAAAATCTTAAGGGACATTCTAATAGAACAACAACAAAAAAAAGCATCCCATCTCGTCTCGAGATTATAAGAGTTTTGCATGGAAAGTTGTAAAGTGGTTCTTCCTGTTTACGCGTATAAAGTTGGCTATATCAACGCGAATAAATAATTTCTGTTTGTTGGTCTTCGCTTAAAAAAAAATGTAATATCAGAAACTTTATAAACGCTTCATTAAATTGCTTCATTAAAGAAAAAATGCTTATAATTATTTTGTTGATTGCCATAATTTGCGTAGCGCCTCGAGGATTACGCAACTTGGGGTCCCGTGGGTCCCTTTGTGTTTGCGCGACAATTCAAATTAAAAGCACACGTAAATCAGATTATATATTTATTAAAAGGATGCCGAAGGATATCCTCCGGGGGAGACACAATTATCCCATCGATTTTAATCAACCGAATGTAATACAAACAATTATATCTGTATATCTATAACTACGTGGACTTATTTTTCTTTTGTTTTTCATTCTTTTCAGAACGAAGCCCTGGAGGCTGCTCTCGCATCCTTGCTGGAAATTGAGAACGACGAAGACCTAAACAAATGCTTGTAAGTATTATTATGCACTCCTGAAAGCTTAGCAAATATTTGATTGTTAACGTTATACATTTAAACGTTTTCCACGCAGAGTCTGCACATTGATTTATTTATATACTGAGCAGATGTTTTCACAGAGAATTTTCTTAAAAATATATTTTTAACAGAGATAAAGAAAACAAGAATCATGTATTTTTCAATCGATATATGGCAACGTTCTACCACCGCATACGATTGCATAACACAGCGATTTAAATTATTTTGTGCAAATGTACGAAATTACATTCCGATAATTTCGCGTTAATTAGATAGGTGAATGTGAGCTTTGAAAGCTCGATTATTTCCGCTAATCAATAATTAATTTGAACGCAATTTTAATAAATATGTATTAATACCAATACTGAAAATATTATTGGTGTGGACAACACATTTTTATTGGTTTTCAACCGTAGTTTCTTCTAGTAAAATAAAATATATTAAAGAATATTCAGTCTGGAAAGTTTTGTAGTATTGCATGTTTTCAAGACAGTTATAAAAAAAACGTGTATACTTGTTTTAAAAACTTACAGTTAAAGCAAAAAAATACATCACAAATATGATGATGATTTCAAAAACATTGAATAAAACTGAATGAAATTGTTAATTATAGTTAATAATTTAATATACAATTATTGAGAAAAAGCGAACTAAATCTTAATTTTTATTTGTATAACAATATTGATAATAAAATAAACATAATTTGGAATGTACCTACAATACTATAATATATACGTTTCAATAGAAAATAAGAATCTCCAATAAATTTGTTGGAGCTTGGAAAGATCAAAGTTAAACTAATAAATACTTCAAAGAAATAATATCACTAGGTCCAGCGGCTCAACCGCAAAGACTACAAAAGAAAAACATGAAAAGAAAATATATAACAATAATCCTCCTTGCGTGTGCTAATCTTTGTGTTTTTACTTCATTATCCCATGTTATTTAAAACATAATCGAACCCTATTTCACTTTATTACATAATAATCTCTAATACAAGTGTTAATTAATGTCCCTATTGTGCATTTTTTTTGTAAATTATCCATGTTTTTCAAAGATTTTTTCCAAATTAACAATTTTTGCAAGAATCTAAAGAAAATCTTTGAAAAATAATAAATTATGTTCGAAAATTTATTATTAAATCATTAAACTATTAAATTAGATAATATATTTGCATACTTGATTACTTGAAAACTTGAAAAAAAAAACTTATTTAATAATTCTGAATATTCCAAATAAAACGTTTTCAAATGAAATCTCGTTACGTTCGCAGTTATTTTTTTTATTTTCATTGGATCGCATCATTAAACTACTTACCTTTTCTATATCATTCAAAAGTTCTTTCAATAGAATTTTAATGGGAAAAACGTATTTCCACCGCACACATTTTTATTTTTTATTAAATTTTTATTTATTTATTTTTTCTGCGCTGCGGTGCGGTGCAGGAAAGAGACCGAATTGGAATAATTGCATTCATCGAACGTCTGGCATTCTATTATGTAAGGCATCATTGAAATAGCATTGATCAATAACGCTGGCTGGCGTCATGCGAATTCCTGAATAATCGCATAACAATAAATATCGAATTCCATCAAAACAAAAAGGGATTCCCTGCATTAAACATAAAAATCTATTACATAACAAAAAGAATCAATGTATTTAGAATAAAACATTATTCAAAAATAAACAAATTATTGACAACTTAGTGAAATAAACTCGTACATTTTCAAAATTTAGTTTTGTTTCTTTTATTTTGCAACATTATTTCAACAATAAAATTAATTGTACTTTTACCCAGTGATTGATAATAATTTTATCAAAATAGCTGAATAATCGCGAATTGGATAATATTATTATCATTCACTTAGTAAAAGTACAAAATACGTATAATACAATTCAATCTATATTGTTTCTACTTGTCTTTTCAACAAATATTTTTTGTCGGCTAATATTTACCTATATTTAATCCATATATTATTTCTTTATAAATTGATTAATAAAATAAAGAGTAAAATTTTATATGTTTCATTAAATTGTTACGTATTATGTATTAATGCGCATTGAATACAAATTTGAATTGGAGATGGATTTATATAAAAAAAAAAGGAATCTAGTAAATTGAATTCTCGGATTTGTCTAAACGAAACTGTTATATAAATTTATCTGGTGTTTAGAGAATTCCGACAAATTAAATACAGCAGCGTTCTATGAATTTTATTATCATTATTTCCCAGATGCGACGAAGCTCTTAATATAACCGAATATATATGATATCAGTTTCATTTTCTTGTCTAAAGAGAATATCGATTGGAGCTGAAAACTTTTCGCTCGTTAAAAAAAAAACGACACTTTTCCTGAAACAATAAGATCGCGTATAATTAACATCAGATTCTTTTCAGATCCCTTTCTATGCACGTCGATATGTAAATTTTGTTCATACGGTTATTCACGTGATTGATTACATCTACGTGAGATACGTGATCTCATCTACCGTTGTACCATGTATAGATTTATGCTTACGTGTAAAACGTGCACAAATAAATATATGGTTTTTGTTTTGTTTCGTGCTGCTTTTTCATATATTGAATAAAATATTTCGTAGGGGATGTTTTTATATGTGGCGCATAAAAAAAATGTTTCTTTTTTTGTGTTGTAGAATGCGAACCAAATACAGTTTCTATATTACATATCTTGTTATAAGTTTCTTTAGAAGTAATGTTAATACTTTTCATTTTATTTCAGATCTGAATTGCCCAGAGACGTTGCGACTTGCACTCATTACGCATACTTGGATGATATTTACGATTTCATTCGGAAAAGCGGTAAATACAAAACTTTACTTTCTCAAAGATTGATATTGAAATTTATTGATTTCGCTGTCCGCTTATGGCCAAATCCCTTTTCTGCATTTTGTTTGAGTAGAAATCCTTTTTTTTTTTTTCTTAAAGCAATGTAATTACACGGAAGATCAAAGCGCTCACTCTTTTCTCTGCTTCTTGCTTCATCCTCGTCTCGCAGACGCTGTAAAAGTCAGAAAGAATGTTCCATGGAATACATCAGGAATGATGCAACTGTAATTCAGTTTAATACATAAAAGGGGGAAGCCAAGAAGCGACCGAGAATAGAAATATATATGCTTAGTCGCAGGATCCGGTGAAAGTATAGTATATATGCTGAAGCGTCGTACAATGAAATTCGCTATCTGTTTCTGTAACCAAGAGTTGCATTGCATATCAATCGGCATGACAGGGCCAAATTCAATAAGCCACGAGAAATTGCTTTCAATATCGGGATTACATCATTATTAGAATACGTAATAAAATAATATTTTTTTTCAGGATTTGATGTGATTGGGTTCTTCGAGAAACTCGGTGGACAATTGATAAGAACCTGCGGGGATAAGTTAGAAAGGGCTTTCGGTTGTTTAGGTGGAGACTTGAGGGAGTTTCTGGCTACGCTGGATGGGGTCCACGATGTTCTGCAGCATCAGGACGAAGAAGAAGCCGAGGACGAAGGAGAAGCTGCCTTTGTTTGCACTAGTAGCAATGCGAAACTACAGTTGGAATTCACTACCGAGCGACCAGCTGTTGCTTACTTGCTAGTTGGGAGCTTGAAAGCTCTGGCCTCAACTCTCTACGATACGCAAATTGATGTTTCCGTCAGGCAAAGTTGCGACGACGTCAGACATTTCACGTAAGTTTTGACTTTTGCATTTAATCGCGTCGGATAGTTTCGAAACCTTGTCGACTTCTCGAACGAATAAAAATAAAATTCTTTCCTGCACTATGTACATATCTTATTACGGTGGTTTATACCCGCAGATTTATAGCACCCAGCCCGACTATTACTTCGTCGGATGTTTGTTGCAACCGTAGCTTATATAAACAAAGTGGAAACAAAGTTTGGTGTAGAAATATAGTCTAGAGGAAAAAGTTAAATAAGATATTTCAAATTTAAAGGGAACATCACTAAACGAACTATGTTTAATTTAACTTATTTACAGAGAATATTATATAAGTGAAGTATTTTTGTTCCTCTAAATATTTACTTTTAATATAAAGAAACTTTATAATAGATTGACAAACGATTTTCACTCACTGCGCACAGCAAATAACTATTGACTTAAATACAAACATAATATGAAATATTATCATAAAATAATAACCAATAAATTCATAGAATAACAATTACAAAAATGGATCATTAAGAAAAGTACAATAATTTAAAAAAAATAGTTTTTTATTTACATTTTTGTATTAATTGTATCATATTATTTTCACTTTTATATAAATTAATTAGAAAATATAATAATCCCGCTCGGTATACTTTTTTTTTTATAAAAATTAAACGTTTTTTTTATATATACATTTTTCAATTAAACAATATATAAAAATATCTATTGAATAAAAATAGATTAGTTTCATGCACATGAAATGAATTATACATTTACTTGTTTGTGAATAAAACAATTCTATTATATTATTATTAAATATTGAGTTGACCTATATGAAAATAAACCATTAAAATTATATTATTATTCAAAATTGATTGATTTTTGTCATCAAACTATTTATAGTTCGAATTAACTAACTAGAAATGGTTCGATATTTCTATATTGCAGTTATAAAATAGTTCCCCGAATGAGTGGGATCGCTGAGAACGTGAAGACACTCGAGCTGACATCGTGCGATCTTCAAATGGGCGTCACGACTTTTTGTAAGGCCTTCCCTTGGCATTTCGTGATGGATCGCAGACTGGAACTGGTGCAGCTTGGATCAGGCTTCATGAGGCTCTTCGCATGCAGACTGAAGACGCGTGGCACTGCCATCGCGGCATACTTCGAATTCCATCGCCCGAAGAACATAAATCTGTCCTTCAGCGAGATCGTTAAAAGGGCCAACACGCCTTTCATTCTAGCCATCCGCAAACTACCCGAGGCCAATCCGCTGCTAGGCGAAGTAAGTGCTTCCAAAACTTAATCTAAGTGAAAGTAAGTTCAACCGCTCGATTAAGTCTGACCAGGTCAGGACAAGCGCCCAACGACCCACGCCCAACACATCGACGTTGCTTTTCATATGCTGATATTTATGGCCGTCTTTCAGAGCGGCGGATCGCAGTCGGCTTGTCGCATGAAAAATAGCTCGCTGAAATCATGAAAGTGTAACAACGTCGGCTTGCGACCCTAATTGAAATTAAATCTAGTGTGAAAAGGAAAATGGAGGTCGCACAGTCATAAACAGAATGTTCGCGAATGTAAAGAATTGTTTCCGCATTGCTGCATTCGAATCGTAAATTACGTTTCGTCCTCCGTTTTTCATTCAAGAACATTCCGTAATCGTTACTTTGATTTAATTCCGAATTCTCATGATGACCACTTTGTATCTACAAATGTAAAAAAACATGTCCAAAATTCCATTTACAACGAATATTATTATAACTGCTTCACTTTCATACTACAATCATACTTTTATTTTATTTCAATTATCAAATTATTAATTTCATTGACTCAAAACAATAAAAGAAAAATAAATAATTAAAGAAGATGTTTGTTTGCAACAGTTATAATTGCATGTTGAATTATATAATACTCGATGGAGATTTTTATTACATTCAAAACTTTCAATTTAATGGTGGATATGATGCGTCAGATGTACTAAGCCCTAGGGATTTAGGATTATAGTGTCCCACGCTAATGAACGGACCAATTAGTCCGTTTTGGAAGTTTAACGTCTATTCGACCAACTGGAATCAATTTCCTGCAATTCCTTCACATACAATTTCTGTTCTAAACAAACAATTCAACTGATTACTACTGTAATTAATTTAGTTATTTCATGAGTTCAATTAATTGAATTGAATATTTCCTGTAACATATTTTAAGAATAATTCATATAATTACATTTTTTTAAATTTATTTAATTTCTATTTATTTCAGACAATAAACAATGATGATAATAAACAATTTAATACTAAAATTGAACTTGAAATTATCGAATGAAATTTGTATGCAGGAAATAACTTTGTAATTTACTGAATTGCTTTGGAAATTTCGTATATGTTTTCGCATTAATGTTAATATGAAGATGGAAACCACCAGGCAGACACTTAATTTCGTTTAAAAGCCACCACTCCAGTTATATGATACCAAATATGTAAATAACTCAGACGCTCCACTATAACTACGAACAGCACTCAACAAAACTCTCTAAAATATTTTAAACAGACCTGAAATGAAATTGCAACTTTTTGGTTCAAAATGCCTGAATTTCATTAGTAAATTGTAACTACTGTGTACAAATTAAATAACTTAGCTAATTGTGATTATTAAGATACATCATTTAATATACTTATTATAAGATTATGATGATAGTAATTGAAAATAAAGGGTTTTTGACTATTGGTTATCATTTAATGGTAATGATGTAATCACGATTTGTTATGCAAACATACTGAATGAATGAGTTGAAAAGTAAATAATTTTCTTGTATGAGAGTTCAGTAGATCAAAGTATGCGAATATAAAAGCAATTTCCTGCCGTTTCAAAAGGAGCTTAACAGGATATGAATGTTTTGTTAAGTGCAATACCGATAGGTCAGAGCATGTAAAAATCAAATATTGTTTTGCTGCGTTCGAGTAATCGATTTTGTTAACGAAGCACGGTTCCACAAATCGTTTGTTTGCTGTTACCACAAAGCAAATAACTGAACTATTCATAAAAAACGTAAAATATATTTGCAACAATCAGAACTTCTAGGATTTGCAAATATATCTTTTCACTTCAGAGGAAAGCCTCAAATTATTTCAGACCCGGAATTGAAGATTTATTTCGGTGGAAATTTCTAGCTAATTTCCATTTTCGGCTCTCGCCGAGCATAATTCAAATTTATATTCACTGGAGGTGCATAATTCTTGGCGCGATCTCTTCCGACGATTTATCTCCATATGTCTGGATTTGCGGCATCGCAGCTCTACGCGCACTCGAGAGACAGAAGAAAAAATCATTTTAAATTATATTTTTGCAGTTTGCATTTTTTGAAGGGCGACAAATTAAAATGAGCTCTGAGGCATAAACCGACCGACGACGTGATAAGCGCCAGAGGCAATACTTTATAATTAACGTCAGGCGAACTCAAATGACCGTTATTTATCTAGGGATGGACGTGGTTCTGGACCCAACACTGTAAATGGCATGTTTTGCAGGGTTTGCAATTGAAAGGACAAATGGTCTACTGTCCTGAATCTGATTCCATCCTCTTCATTGGATCGCCGTTCCTCGACGGATTGGACGGTCTCACCGGTAGCGGCCTCTTCATTTCCGATATTCCACTGCACGACGCAACTAGAGATGTTATCCTCGTGGGAGAGCAAGCCCGAGCACAGGTAAATTTATTTCCCACCACAAATCTAATTAATTGCCGTTTGATTCTCTATACACCTATAAATCATACTATGTCCATTACTCCACATAATACTATTTAATATTGATTTATCTTCTGACGCTGTATGATTCACAATAAATATACATTTTCCATTTTTGTTTGTTTATAGAATATACAACTTTATTTTTAACATATGCTGCAAATTTAACTTAAAATAATTTAAAAACTAATTAGTCAATAATCATTATTAGCAAATTAGTACATGTGGTACTTCATTCATGTTTATGATGTGAATATGTTTGGTGTAAACTAAATTATTTGTTTTCTACTGCAATGCAATTCAATTTGTCCAGTTTGTTAAGGGTGTTAATCGTCAACCAATTGCTCTAGAAATCTAATTAATTTTTCTGTAGTTATATCATTTCGTTTCAAAATTAAGATTAACAACAAAATTTCAATTTCTAAGAAACAATTTTATTCAATCAGTCTTTTCTTTAGTTTTATTTGTAAATAAGAAATATTCACAAAATAAGTTTTTATATAATATTTATGAGACTGTCAAAATAACTAATTTATTTTATATCTAAAACGTAGGCTTGTCATAATTCAAATATATTGATTTATATAAATTTAGTATCTTCCGCACTTTTTTCCTGTAAATCATTTTTTTTTTTCGAAAAATATTTCCACTTCCTAGTCTATACATATAAACTAGATATAGACATGAATAATTGTACCTATTAATCATTACAATGTAAAAAATGTAAGAAACATTTTTGTGTGTCCAATTTTAAATATTTTTCTAATTTCTTTTAAAACTTATTACTTTAGTCTTTTCGTCTGCGTTCTACAAATGAGAGTTCGACGACAGTTTGTGAAGTATGTGTAATCTTATACCGTTAACGTGAGATAAAGATTTAAAATTTCACACAATAAAATATATTGTATTATTTGATACGACAATAAAATATATTCTTATTAAGTCATTAAAACAAAAATAGATAAAATATATAACATAATTGTATAGAATTCATAATTAAGCAGATTTCTTTAATATTGTTTAATTAAATAAATCATTATAATGATTTAATAACGCCATTACATATAATTCGATATAATCTAATTAACTCAATGTTCAGTTGCGAATTTCTAAATGTATATAATTACTTGTTAATTGAAACACGAACATATTGCACAACCCTTATTTCTAATCAATGTAATCAAATTTGTATCGAAGTAGATAAAAAATATAAGTTTGTTGGTGGCCATTAGTCACCGATTTATTTGCCGCAAGAAGTGGATGCTGAGCAGCGGATGTGCCGGGTCTCCTCTATCTTGTTCGTGGGACAGATTAATGAGGGTGCTGGTTAATGTACAAGATCAAATTTACGATAACATTCCCATCGTTCTTTTATTCCCAACATGCGATTGCAGCACTTTTATCTCGCGCCGGAGATTACATCACCATTGTTTACATCCCACACCGATGAAATTTAAAAAGTTTTATATGCGAGCACCGCAGCAAGATGCACGAACAAAACCGTGGGTCTCTTTTTTATATTCGCGTTTTACGGAATAAAAATAATCATTTCAAATATTTTTCCACGTCGCAAACATGGAAGTTTGAAAACTTTTATGAAACAACATATTTTCTACATGCAAATTGTAAAAAATAGATATAATTGCTCTTTTAGGTTCTTTTAGAATCTTGCAAATTATTAAATAACAGAAGACAAATTTTGCTATACAAATTTGAATGTATCGCACACAAATATTACAAAAGACCAAACCAATAACTTTTTTTAACAAATAACATTTTCTTGAATAACTCTTCTGTACATTAGGGTTAGATGAAAATCAAAGCAGACTAGTATAATAACAGCAAATCAGTTCTAGTGGTTGTATCGATCTTACTTACGTTGATAATTATACTAATATACATGCTATGGGTAAGATTGGTATCAAACTGATCAAGTATGTGCAAGAGCTAATGAGCTTTTAGTGCTTCTTGCTTGAAATTATAACATAATTTTCTAAGAACTTCACACTCTACCCATTTGTTCATACAAACCAAAATGTTATTAAAATGTATATAACTAAGTTATTTATTGCAATGTTACGTATAAATATATGTAAACTTAATTCACTAATTGTTTTAGAAATGAAATCTCGTCTACAAATCTAATTGTCGAGCATGCACGACAAATTTGCTGAATTTGCTTGATTAATTGACGGAAGACATTCAATTAAGGAATATTCAATCCTCGTGCTCAGGTGAAATGTAAATGAAGTTTGAGTGAAGTAAAAGCAAAAATTATTAAAAATATTTCGAGGGAATGTAATATTAATAATAATTCAAATAGTTCGGTATAGTTGAATATTCTAAAATGCCAAAACTTTCCACGTCAATGCACACTGTGTATTCAAGTATTCAACACGAGTTTCTAACTTATTAGCCAGCACCTGCTAATAGAATGTGAAGCACAATAAGTTTCTATGGTTAAATAAAAATAATATTCAAAAACCTTACATCAAATTTAATTACTTCTACTAATGAGTTTATAAATTATTATTGAAAAAGCACATAGTTTCATTATCAAACTATTGTATATAAAGGTTTATAAAATGGAATATAAAGTATTAAATTGTCACTTGAGCAGAAAAGATCAAATATTTATAGACCATTATTACTTTTATGGAAGCTTCAATTGCAAGTACCGTATAACTTGATGTGCTATAGCAGTTACACAACTTTTTGATGTTTTCAACAGTTTTAGTCTTTCAACAACATTTTAACTGATTTTTTTAATTAACGTAGATTTATTTATTACATCTAAGACATTGAAAAAGTTTTTATATTATTTGATTTACTGCATAAAGGGATTAAAATCAAAATGTATATTTCTTCTTTGTAAAAGATTTATCAGGCTCAAGAGACTTTATTCAAAAGTATGAATAATTTAGACTTTAAAACTTATATTTCCTGTTTCGTTCAAGAAACTTTCCCATCCTCGTACCTTTTCACATAAAAATAACTCAATTTCTTATAACTGGAAAACACACGTATTCGGCTTTATAAAGTTGACATTTTCATTGAAAAATAAATACAAAATTAGTCTCTAATAGTTCATATACAAAAAGTGCAGAAAAACCACTTTAACAACATTAAAATTGTAAATAAACAAAACTGTAAAATTGAAAATGAACTGTAAATCTAAATATAATATGAAAAAGTAAAGAATTTAAAATAATTTTAGTCTTAATCTTGTTTTTTGGTTACAAATTTAAACCAAATACTCTAAAATGTTTTACAAAATAATATTTCGTAATTCGAGTTCAAAATTGAAAAAATGTTCGAAAAAGCAGTGTTTTTACATTTCATTGATTTTCTCGAAAACTATAATAGATAGAATGAATTCAAAAGATGCATATTAAAGATGAATGTTTGGGGAATCTAGCAAGTATTGATATATTACTGCGGTTTTATCTGTTTGGCTGTAATTCGCGTACAACTTTTAAAAATTAACGCTTAAATTCACAGTTTTCCTTGCAAACTAGAAAAAATAACGATTTGTGAATCACAAATTCTATGATAACATTATTACGCATTTCCGCAATTTGTATTTTATTTTTTCTCCTGTAATATTCATCGTTCAGAACGAATTTCTCACAATTATTCGTAACTGATTCATCATAGCGCAACTACCATAAATCGCAATTATGTCATTCGATACGGACGAAACGATGAGCGCAAAAGAGACGGAAATAAAGAAAAGGAGAGGCAACAAGACAAGCAGAAGTTCGTTATTAAATTTCAATTATTATGTTATAACAAAATGTCTTTTTGCAAAGAAAAAATCGGAAATTTTCAGAATTTTAAAATATTTGATTTCTTGGATTTTAGTTACAAATTTAGTTTGAATGTTTTGCATATTTGTTATTAGTAATTATTAAGAAAAAATATATGTAAAAACTGAAAAATAAATGTATAAAGTTAAAATTTAAAAGTTGAAATGTAATTCGTATGGGAATTTTGGGAACAATTTATACGATTCCGGGTAATACAAAGCACTTGCGGTGTTAGTTACGATCAAGGGCATTTAGTAAAGTCCAAAACGGCGTCTATCCAATCTAATAGAAACTCGAGAGAGAGAGAGAGAGAGCTCAGTTGCAGTCGCACCGCAGATCCATCTTATTTAAATAAACCAGGCGCATCCACCAGAAACCACCGCCACCCCCGTATCTCTAGAAAATATGAACCCTGTCGTGCGGTTAAAACGCCGCTTTATCACCTCCCTAGGCTTTGTACGAGCACACAAATTGCGAATTAAATCGTAAGTGATTCATTTTCATATTTTAATATAAATCCGACGTGCTCGCTTTACATTCCATCCAGTCTATTTGCATACTGGGATGTTTAAGAGAGGACAAGCACATAAACCGGACGATATTTTCCAGTTAATTTTCTATATAAATCAATAACCGTCAAGTCCAATTTCTACAAACTTATTCATCGTAGACATATCTACATAATATGTAATTATTTCATGTAACAAAGGAAAAAGGTTGTAAGGAAAGCAGTTGTACAATTACAAAAGGCGACGTAAGAAGTAAAAGAAATGCTGGATTTGTGCTACATGACAGTGAGTGATTGTTTTTGCCCGTTTTGTCACTGCCAGTCTCAAAAAATTTGCATACATTTTAAATTATGCGCAGCTGATTTATATCTGCCATAACTTAATGTACTGAAAAAAAATATTTAAGAAATTGTGATAATAACTTCATAGTGTTGCGAGTTATAATATAAGGTTACGACGTGTCCGCAGTTGCGGAATTTATGCTGGAATTACATGTGTAGCATTAGTGTGGTTATGCGGTAAACCGGAACAGAAAGAATTTAATCGCACCGCTGTAGCAACTAATTAGATCCTACAGCTTCCATGCATGCATGCAACTGTACGCAAACATTCACATTCGTATTACGTAGCAAGGACCACCATTCGTTTATATTATGTGTTACACGGAATATATTTTTTATGCACATTTTTGTTTTTCAACAAATAAACAAATACAATTGCTTTAAATTTTAAAAAGAAATACGAAACTTTATAAAAATGCACAAAAGGAGGCAGAGAAACCAGTTCATTTATGTTGAAATAATAATTTTGTGTACTACTTTATTAGAATTTGTTTTGAAACATTAATTTAACATGTTTATAAATTATTAAAATCGAAAAGTTTGAAATACAAGGACTTCGGTTACTTTTTGAATAAAAATGTTGGTGTATTTTGTGTTTGCTGAGTTAAGGGCTTTAAGGTAATATTTATATATTTAGGGACTTTTGGGGACACGATTTTTTGGTATGTTCTAAAAGTTATTTCGTTTATGAATAATGAATTAAATTAATTAATTCAGGCTGCACAAATTACTGTTTAAAATTTATAAATATTCGTAGTAAATCAATAAATAAAACTCTTAATTGTGTAAAAATTGTAAAAGTTTACAAGAAATACTCGAAAGTAAATGTTCGATTTGAAAGTAAAATATTGGGTGAAGTAAAAAGTTCTGAGCCTTTTTCGTTACATGGCTTTAGTGAGTCATATCTTAAAAACCGCTTTTACCATTTGCATAACGCTGGTCTCAAGAATAAGTCAAGTTTTTTACCAATAGAGACGAGGATTTCTTCAATAGCAAAATTATGAAATTACCTTCAAACTGGACAAAAGATATCGAAGAAAACTTATCTAAATAACTTTGTTAATTTCATCGTCGAAATAAAGAGAAAAAACTTTTTACTTCACCCAATATTATCATTAATGTATTATTGGGATTTGAAAGCAATTATTTATCCAATTTTCTAATTAAAAATTGAAATTTCTCTTCATGTTAATTTAGTAAATTAATAAATTTCCCTTTTTATTTAATTTGTAATATTATCTTGGAATTTTCAATAACCGTCCAATATCTACAAATTTATATATCATAACAGAAACTGAATTGCATAGATTATTTACATTTTTATACATTTCCAAGCGCTTTTTAATTTGTTACATAATTATTTGTCAGATATAACTACGAAATATGTTATAATTTAAAATAGATTAAACTAATCAACTACAACATGTTGACCTGGACTTGAAACGTGATTACAATAATGTCATTATAAATTACAAATTAATTAACCGTTAAGCGCCATTGCTAACGGCTGTTTGCGACAACCACCTAAGGCAGCACACAGATGTTTCACCGCAAAATGTAACCCTTCTCATGTAGACTTTAAGTTATTGTTAAGTTAATAATATTGCAATCACTATTACGTATCTGTCACACGCAAGAAATGAAGCAAGAAAATCATAGAATTACACTCAATTTCTCATTTCACATCTACAATATGAAAAGAACAAGAAAATCTCTAAAGAAATAACATATAAAATCAATTAAAAATTATGTTATTATCACAATTACAGAAATATAAAATTCATGTGAAAACGATCCAAAATCAAACAGATTCCTGTCTAGATTCATTTTTGACTAAATTTTTTCAAAATTTCAAATCTGCAAATAGAAAGATGATTAATGGGGCAAATAAAATTATAAATAAATAATTTATAAATATTATTACCGAGTTATAAGCTCATCCTATAAAATTAATTTACATTTAAAATAGTCAAAACTCTACCAATCAGTAAAGTAATTATGGAAAAAAAAATTAATATACTATTTGGAAAATTTGTCTAATTTAAACATAAAAATCTATACTTATTTAGTATAAAGTTGACATTTTCATTGAAAAATAAATACAAAATTAGTCTCTAATAGTTCATATACAAAAAGTGCAGAAAACCCAGTTAATATGAAAAAGTAAAAACTTTAAAATCATTATTTTTTTAATAATTTTAGTCTTGTTTTTTGGGTACAAATTGAAACTAAATTCAGTGTTATAACAAGAAAAATCTAAAGTTTTTTTGTAAAGAAAAAAAATTAGAAATTTTCAGAATTTTAAAATATTTGATTTCTTGGATTTTAATTACAAATTTAGATTGAATGTTTTGCACATTTGTTATTAGTAATTATTAGTAAAATTATATGTGAAATCTGAAAAATAAATTTTATAAAGTTAACATTTAAAAGTTGAAATGGAATTAGTTCGTATGGGAATTTTGGGAACAATTTATACGATTCCGGGTAATACAAAGCACTTGCGGTGTTAGTTACGAACAAGGGCATTTAGTAGAGTCCAAATAGTTAAAATAGTCAAAGAGTTAAAATAGTCAAAACTCTACCAATCAGTAAAGTAATTAAGGAAAAAAAATTAATGTACTATTTGGAAAATTTGTCTAATTTAAACATAAAAATCTATACTTATTTGGTATTGCAAATTATATTTTCCATTTTATTGAATAATTGTATAATAATAAAGTGGTTATAAATTTCGCTTTATAAAGAAATATTTCATTCATGTATTGTAGTTAAAAATAGTTTATTGATTATGGAAGAAAAATCAGGTTCCTATTGTGTTTGCAATGAATGAAAAATCGGAATGATGTGGAGACATTCGACGTATAGCTTGTATTTAGACGTATACTGTTTTATTTTTTCTAGGACGGTCTGCGTAGAAGAATGGATAAATTGAAAAGCTCCATTGAAGAAGGGAACCGGGCCGTGGACAAAGAAAGGGAGAAAAACGTCAGTCTGCTTCATTTGATTTTCCCCCCAGATATAGCGAAACGGCTATGGCTAGGTAAGCAAACGCAAAAATCTAATCATTATCTGGAATTAGATCCTTGCAAAGAAAAAAAAAACTATAAATAGAAGTAATTGAATTCCAAGCACTAAAACCCAAGTGTCTTGTATGTGTGGTTGTGTGTGTTTGCGCCCGGATTTCCATACTAATATAATCTTATTATTTCAAGGGGAAACCATCGAGGCTAAGACACACGAAGACGTCACTATGCTATTCAGCGACATCGTCGGTTTCACTTCCATTTGTTCCACTGCGACGCCGATGATGGTGATCAATATGCTGCAGAATCTCTACAATCAATTCGACATATATTGTGGGCAGCTCGACGTGTACAAGGTAAGCCGCATCTCCAATTCCGAAGCTAAAACTATTTCCATCAATAATGCGCACGTATTAATTGTTATGAATTGGACAGTAATAATCATTTCGCAATGGCCGCCCAACAGAAACGCAACGGTCGTGTAATCGTTTTCCAATTCCAATTACGCGAGTCGGACACGATTTTGCTGTTTTTTCCAGCGTTTAAAATAATATTAGCTGACGGCGTCGTAAAATTTTACTTAAAACGTAAAATCCGCTCGAAAAAACATGCATTAACTTCGACACGCAAACCGTATTTCCTTTTAATCATTCATACAATTTCACATACATATTACACACATATTAGCAGGAATGTTGTAAATCTAAGTGTGTATTTCCTAGTTATTGATTATACATTTTGAAGAAAAATTAATAAACGGTTAATTAATTTGAACACACAACGAATGTAAATACCAAGAGGCATTAAATAACATTCGGTTTGGTTTACCGCAATACATTATCAATTCGACTCAAATTGAATGGAAATCTAATTGAAAATACACTATTTGCTGGAGTAATAACTCTTAAAACCACACATATCCACAGAATACCTAGGGCTGTAGTCGATTGGACTAATAGCATTCCAAATGATGTTACACTAATTTCTTTATGTGAAGATATATTGGAATGTTTCTCTAACGAAACAGAAAATGTACATGTTTGTGCCAACAATAACCTTTTTTTAGGATCGATATTTGCTTCAACGCTATTCAAGATCTTTTATTCCTTCGGTGAAATAAGTATCAGACAAACTCTCAAAAATATCCATTTATATTGTAGCAGTAAATGCTTGATGGATTTTCATCTTTAGGATAGGAACTATAAAAAACAGACCTATTTTTCTATCACGATGGACATTTTAACAAATGAGACTTTTCAAATAATCTAGTTTAAATATACAATACTGACCTGACTTTTGTCAATTAATTGATGAAAATCAGTTCGCAAAACAAACTCAATTGTTACGATTACATTGTTTTATTATTTCTTGGCTTACCTGCATGACGTTTGTTTCTACAAACATTTCAATTCCGCAACTCAATTTGCAATTTCTATATGATGAAGCAAACTCATCATAAACTCCAACTAAGTACTCTTTTGTTTCATTAACGTTTAAGCCTTTCAAAAGAGAAATGTTTAATCACTGCTTGAAACTCAGTTCTTTTTTTTTTCGTACTTATAAAAGCAATCTCATTTGATTGACAGACGGCTTTTTCAGAAATTCTCAGACTGTAATTAATTAGAACATATTTCAATTGTATGTAGCTATAAGTGTATTAGATATACAATAATTTAGAAGAAATTGTGAATATCTATAATGTAATATTCATGTGCATTCGAGTGACTTAATATGAATTGTGATAGCAAAATTCCAGAGAGAGTTTAATTTTAATGCCACCATTAAAAGCGGAATGATCAAAATATACTGGGTGATGGAAAATCGATTGAGTTTATTAATTATTTACGTTGATCAGCTGATTACCAAAAGCCGATTCACACGGAGGCTTCGTTGCATAAACATTCACAGTTAATCTATTTGTAAATAGAAGCCAATAGAAAAAGAAGTGCATGAATATTGCATTACAATCAGAGAGCACTTTGTTTGCTCGCAGTTCGATTGATAAAATTATTTATAGATCGAACTGCGAACTGCTCGAATTAGAATGGGCTTAATTGCCAAATTAAATTTGACCCAGGTTTGGGAAACTTGGAAGAAACTCGATGAATAATACAGAGTCTTGATTAAACCCAGCAAACACTAGACACAGAAGAAGCATCAACAGCTGTTCATTGAATTACGTTTTGTACTCGATTGGGTTTTGGAATAATCCATTCCCAATGGATTTCATAAGCTTTAAGCAATGATTTATGGATAATGTTAATGACAAGCATGTAATTAAATCCGTAGATAGTTTCTGTTTATCTGAGGAATACAGTTGTATTCAATATTTATAAGGCAAAGCAATTTCGGCTATTCCCCAGTGGTCAAATAATTAATGCTTAAGATCTGTATACCGGAAGGGCTGAATCCACTAACACTCGGTTTGTATCATTTGACTGAACATCAATAGGGAATGTATAGGGAATGGATCTTAAAATATTTATTTTGAGCAGTCCCGAGAAATTAAATATATACAAATAGAACAAATTGTTTGCGGTTACTCGGCCCTCGTTCATCTCCACTTATCACATTCAAGTTCAACCTAATTCATTTATCTTCAAGCCCCGGGGAAAGTAATTTCAGTTAAATTGAAACTTATTATATTACGACGGCAATTTGTTTCCTTATTGAAATGTAATTTCATCAGATCGCCAACACCAGAACGTCTGTGGTACATCTGCAGAGCCATGACCCAAGCAATATACTGCATTATCTACATGTCTACTTTAATTACTTCAAGTCTTACTTCAATTTGCGCGCGGAACCTTATTTACTTTAAGTTTGCACAATGAAATTAAGGTGTTGGTTAATAATGTTGGAATCTTAAGCAAATTTCGTGTAATATCGAAAGTTGCGGAATTTCAGATAAATATGTTAAGCGAGAGGAGTTTTCAGGTGAAGCCTTCGGGAATTAAAACTCTCCCAAACGACTGTTCTATTCATTTTTCTTTTCGAAGCCGTCCAATTTTTGAAAAACTTTATCATTTATTTAATAATATTTCTCCAAAAGTTTCTTACAAATTATGAATAATTAATATTTGTGTTGAAACGCAGGTGTTCAACTGAAACGTAGATGTTCACGCAGGTGTTCATTTTAAACACAGGTGTTCAATTTCAAAACAGGTGTGCACGCAAGTGTTCAATTTTGAGACAGGTGTGCACGCAGGTGTTCAATTAAAACGCAGCTGTTCAATTAAAACGCAGGTGTTTCGTGTTGCGTTTCATCAGATCGCCAACACCAGAATATTTGTGGTACATAGGCAGAGCCATGGTTTTAAATGACCCAAGCAATATACTGCATTATATACATGTCTACTTTAATTACTTCAAGTCTTACTTCAATTTGCGCGCGGAACCTTATTTACTTTAAGTTTGCACAATGAAATTAAGGTGTTGGTTAATAATGTTGGAATCTTAAGCAAATTTCGTGTAATATCGTTAATTCATGCATTTTGTCGGAGAGAATCCGTTGAAAGTTGCGAAATTACAGAGAAATATGTTAAGCGAAAGGAGTTTTTAGGTGAAGCCTTCGGGAATTAAAACTCTTCCAAACGACTGTTCTATTCATTTTTCTTTTCTAAGCCGTCCAATTTTTGAAAAACTTTATCATTTATTTAATAATATTTCTCCAAAAGTTTCTTACAAATTAAGAATAATTAATATTTGTTTCGAAACGCAGGTGTTCAACTAAAACGTAGATTTTCACGCAGGTGTTCAATTTTAAAGCAGGTGTGCGCCCATGTGTTAAATTTTAAAGCAGGTGTGCATGCAGGTGTTCAATTAAAACGCAGGTGTGCTCGCAGGTGTTCTAATAAAACGCAGGTGTGCACGCAGGTGTTCTAATAAAACGCAAGGTGTGCACGCAGGTGTTCAATTCTGAGACAGGTGTGCACGCAGGTGTTCAATTAAAACTCAGGTGTTTTGTGTTGCGTTTCATCAGATCGCCAACACCAGAACATTTGTGGTACTGCAGAGCCATGGTTTTAAATGACCCAAGCAATATACTGCATTAACTACATGTCTACTTTAATTACGACGCTCCTCTCCAGTTTTACTTCAATTTGCACGCGGAACCTTATTTACTTTAAGTTTGCACAATGAAATTAAGGTGTTGGTTAATAATGTTGGAATCTTAAGCAAATTTCGTGTAATATCGTTAACGTGCATTTTGTCGGAGAGAATTCGTTGAAAGTTGCGGAATTTCAGAGAAATATGTTAAGCGAGAGGAGTTTTCAGGTGAAGCCTTCGGGAATTAAAACTCTCCCAAACGACTGTTCTATTCATTTTTCTATTCCAAACCGTTCAATTTTTGAAAAACTTTATCATTTATTTAATAATATTTCTCCAAAAGTTTCTTACAAATTATGAATAATTAATATTTGTGTTGAAACGCAGGTGTTCAACTGAAACGTAGATGTTCACGCAGGTGTTCATTTTAAACACAGGTGTTCAATTAAAACGCAGGTGTTCAATTTTAAAGCAGATGTGCACGCAGGTGTTCAATTAAAACGCAGGTGTTCAATTTTAAAGCAGGTGTGCACGCAGGTGTTCAATTAAAACGCAGGTGTTCAATTTCAAAACAGGTGTGCACGCAGGTGTTCAATTTTAAAGCAGGTGTGCACGCATGTGAACAATTTTGAGACAAGTGTGCACGCAGGTGTTCAATTAAAATGCAGGTGTTCAATTTTGAGACAGGTGTGCACGCATGTGAACAATTTTGAGACAGGTGTGCACGCAGGTGTTCAATTAAAACGCAGGTGTTCAATTTCAAAACAGGTGTGCACGCAGGTGTTCAATTTTAAAGCAGGTGTGCATGCATGTGAACAATTTTGAGACAGGTGTGCACGCAGGTGTTCAATTAAAACAGGTGTTTCGCGTGTTTAAAGATTTTATTGTTTCTTAACCAATTTCTATCATTAGAAATAAATTTACCCGGCGCATCCAGCATTCATAATAATAATTATATAGTTCTGTTTTATTTAATAAAAGGTAGGTGATTATGCAATACATTTTCTTTATTATCATTATATATGTTAGATGTTAAAATAAGACATTTTGCATAATGTTTGTCATCTTTGTAATACAGGCTTATTTAGAAGGAATTATAATCTATTGCTTGACATATTGGACATGTAGTTTAGTAGGTTTAAGCTATCTCCTTTGAAATGTATTCTGCAACGGTTGTCCGTTAAATTAGCCGCAACGTTTCGCAAACAAAAAACGTCCTCCAGTCTCGACTTCATTCATCTTCAACTTTTTATGTGGACGGCAAATATAGGACTGCAGTTACTAATTACTCTGCTTGCGATATAAATGTGAATAAATAAGTTTTTAGTTTAATTTAGATGCAAATTTTTCACTGGTCCCAGTAAATAATACAGTACTATATTTCATGTAGAGCAGAACTAGTGGCAATAAATTTTGCTGCACATCCTGCAAAATTTATTATTTCATATCAGCGATATTTTTATTTTCATTTCATGTTGCGGTTTCGATTGAATCCATTGCAATTTTTTTTTTTCAAGTTACAATATATTTGAACTAAAAACAAAAAAGAATGAGTATTTGTCGTGTCGCCAAGTAGGTGAAACGTTCGCAATAAATTCAATTCTTTACGAAGCGGAAATGTGAAAGTGTTTTCGAAAGCGCACACTCTTTATAGTGTGATAAATATTTAGGTTTTAGTCATTTAACAATAGGTTATTTTTTTTGTTTGTTTTTCAGGTGGAAACTATCGGTGATGCATACTGTGTGGCTGGAGGGTTACACAAGGAAAGTAGTACACATGCACAGCAGATCGCTTGGATGGCTTTGAAGATGATCGATACGTGTCGTTTACATCAAACGCACCAAGGACAACCTATAAGGGTAAGTTCCGTATTTTTTTTCTTCTACAACGATTATTTTTTTATCTAGAACTTATTGGTCCCTCGCAAAACTGCAATCTTTTCATTTTCGTTTTTTTATTTATTTATATATGTATGAGGCGTTATGCGGACCCATATAAAATTCACTTAAATATAACAATTTATGGCGCACTAAAAACCATTTATACCCGCACCCTGCTCGCAATTCTATTCATGAATATTCAAGAAAGGTTACTCAATAAATTTAATTTTAATTTCCAGAAATACTTATATGATTTAAGCAGTACTTTATTAATAAAATACATGTATATAATTAAAATTAATTCGTATATTAAAGACGTTAATAATAGTTTTAAAAATGCAAGTAATTAAATAATTATTATTGTAAGATACACAGAAATCTTTGAAAGATGTAAACACTATATTTATAAAAGCTATGATCAGTTTGCTCTTCTATATGCAACACTTGAAAATTGGGTTGTTGAACTTAAACGAGGTCGTATAAGCTTATAGAACGGTGACAATCGCTAGCCCGACAACCGAAATACCGTCAATCAAATTCCCGAAATCCCGACTGTATTGAAATCTCGACAACCATAATCCCGACTTTATAAAAATCCTAACTATATCGAAAATGTCTACAATAACATTTTAAAATTATTTCGGAGCGTAGTGACTTTTAAATTGTTATTAATAATAAATAATAACAATTAATAATCTAATTTTAGTTGAGATTATTCCATAATGTTAAGATTTATTATGAATAATTCAACAAAATCAAATATATTAATAATAATTTATTGTTATTAGTAATAAAAATGTAGCACCGAAATAGTTTAAGAATGTTATTGTAAAATTTTTCGATATAGTCGAGATTTTGATACAGTGGAGATTTTGATATAGTCGGGATTATAGTTGTTGAGATTCTGATACAGTCGGGATTATGGTTGTCGAGATTTTGATATAGTCGGGATTTCGAACGTCGGGATTTCGATACAGTCGGGATTTCGAACGTCGGGATTTCAATAAACGGTCTTTCGGTTGTTGCTTATGATATAGACCCTTATAGAATACATCAAATCTAGGCAACATGTAAAGATCCACGATAACATAAAGTTGTAAATGATGAAAGTTATTAATAATGATTGTTTACATTGCGTCTTATTTCAATATTTAAGCGTAAGATGATTATTTCTCATAATTATAATGTTAATAATATATGAATCAATACACACTGAGACTAAAGGAAAATCAAAAGAATGGAGAAGCTTCAAAGTATACAACAACGATTCTAAAACATATATATAAAAAGAAAAGTATTTTTTTCGATTTAAATCAATCAGAAAGTCTCAATTATAAATTAAATATTACCATCATAATTCTAAGTAGAAAAGTTTTAAATCTTAAATCCGATGAACTTGGATCCGTCTGTGATAATAATTTAATGAAAAACCTCGATAAAATTAACCACGCCAGTAAACTGAACTGAACTGAATGTTGAAAAGTTCAACGTTTGCAGTTTTTCCTAAAAGATAAGTCAGTAATTAAACATTTCATTACGTCCGCGATGCCCTAATTATAATTCATTTTTAATTAAAAACCTTAACTACAGACACATCCACGACCATCCTTTACACACACACACATAAAAAGAACGCAAAGAAATCACCATCTCCTTGCAATTTTATTCTTCTGCGCTCGCATTCGCCTCCACCCAACGAGATAGATGTACGACTAAATTGAAAAGTAAAGTATTTTCATCTCCCTTTCCTCGTGGCCGCATCTATTTTATATTTTAATCTTAGAGCAAACACTTTTCTCACACTCATTTTTCCGTTTAATAACAGTTTTATCATTTCAATGAAAATGCTTTATGTGCATGATTTGAAAAGAAACTTAAGATTTACTGAAATTTTTGTTATATTATCATGTAGTTCTTGAATACAATATAAAGTAGCCTTGAGAATTAACTGAAAATCAATGCGAGTTTTGATTGAATTCGAAATTTAAAAAATAATAATCATGGTTATTGATCGATGAAATCAAAATTGAAAATATTTCTGTAGGAAATTGCAAGATCGTACAGATTTGGTCATCCCTGAAGTATTCCTCTATATTCAAACCGGAAGAGATGGCTGGCTGAAAAATAATGAACTCATCGCAGTAAATCGATTTTTGAACAATAATTCAGTCCAATGAATTGTAATTTATTTCTATTTCATTGATTTTCAATCTATTCTCATAAAAAGTAAATAAAAATACATTTTGTACATTGATTCCTTATTTATGAATTTATACTCTACTTTTCCCAACATTAATTTCAAATTAATATTAATTTTATGAGAAAAGTTTAGAAACTTTAAGCAATATTTTTTTAGTATTATTCCATAAATTATTCTTTTTATTTCTTTAAATAATATAAGTCTATTAACTGAATTGAAGATATTACTAACTATGTTTGCTTTTTGCAATAGAAATTTGGGGTCATTGGCAGCAAAGTTTAATGTTTTTAATCATTATGCTTATATATGTGTATTTGAGATTATTTCAAATTAATTAATAATAATTTATTGTTATTAGTAATAAAAATATAGCACAAGGTTACTACGCTCCGAAATAATTTAAGAATGTTATTGTAAAAATTTTCGATATAGTCGGAATTTTGATACAGTCTTTTGTGTCTATTCTCATAAAAAGTAAATAAAAATACATTTTGTACATTGATTCTTATTTATGAATTTATACTCTACTTTTCCCAACATTAATTTCAAATTAATCCTAATTTTATGAGAAAAGTTTAGAAACTTTAAGCAATATTTTTTTAGTATTATTCCATAAATTATTCTTTTTATTTCTTTAAATAATATAAATCTATTAGCTGAATTTAAGAGAGATACCGATTAATTTATTATATAATTATATAAATTAAGTATGTTTGCATTTTGCAATAGAAATTTGGGGCATTGGCAGCAAAGTTTAATGTTTTTAATCATTATGCTTATATATGTGTATTTGAGATTATTTCAAATTAATTAATAATAATTTATTGTTATTAGTAATAAAAATTAGACATAGGTAATAAAAATATACACAAGGACTTATACGCTCCGAAATAATTTAAGAATGTTATTGTAAAAATTTTCGATATAGTCGGAATTTTGATACAGTCGGGATTTCTTATTTATGAATTTATACTCTACTTTTCCCAACATTAATTTCAAATTAATCCTAATTTTATGAGAAAAGTTTAGAAACTTTAAGCAATATTTTTTTAGTATTATTCCATAAATTATTCTTTTTATTTCTTTAAATAATATAAATCTATTAACTGAATTTAAGAGAGATACCGATTAATTTATTATATAATTATATAAATTAAGTATGTTTGCATTTTGCAATAGAAATTTGGGGCCATTGGCAGCAAAGTTTAATGTTTTTAATCATTATGCTTATATATGTGTATTTGAGATTATTTCAAATTAATTAATAATAATTTATTGTTATTAGTAATAAAAATATAG